CACAGACCATGACGGTCAAGTGGCCAGGATACCAGGGCACTAGGGAGCCACCACAGGTCCTTGAGCAGGGCAGTGACGTGGGGACAAGGAGGCCAGTAATGAAGATCTGCCCCTAGGGGCTGTTTGGTTCCTCTTTCTGGACCACCCACCCCAATCTGTGACGGGGACTGTGTGGGAGCTGCAGCTGGACCCAGGAGTTCTGACAGTGGCCACCAGGAGGCAGTGTAACCTCCCACCTCCACTCCAGGTGGTCCTGACGACCTGCTCTAGGCAGGCCCGGGGCCACCCCACTGACCCCATCAGACCCAGGCTCGTCTGGGGGGGGAGGCCCGTCCAAGTCCCTGCAGGCAGGCACACTGGCTGAGACAATCTGGTTAAAGGGCTCCTGGACACAGACTCCCCTTCTCAACACTCCCAAGTGCCCCTCCTCACTCAAGAGAGAGGTGGGCCTGGACCTTAGTATGGGAGCCTTGGGGGTAGGGAGCAGGTCTGCTGAGCAGGCCTATGGTGTTTCCAGAGTTAAACAGACTGTTCGTTGCAGCAAGTAAGAGAAACCACCAGGGTAACTACCCGCTGGCCCGTGGTGACCCCACCTGTCACAGCGTACCGCTCTGTGGGGCGTTTTTGGCTGAATCGTCGTAGCAGCACATTGCTGGGCCTTTCTTCAGTGGTACTGCTGGTGGGTTCAAACTGGCCACCTTTAGGTTAGCAGTTGAGTGCAGGCCACTTGTACCACTCAAGGACTGCCCACATGTGTATCCAGAGGCCCCACAAGCCTGTAGCCATGGCCAGCACCCCACACCCGTTTGATCTCTTCCCAGGGACCTAGAGACACTGTAACCTGCCAGGGTCCCACCACTGGGGTTCCCACCATGCCATCAGAGCCTCACGCCTCATCCTCCCACGGCACTGGGCATCATTCAAGGCCCACGACTCCACGTCCATACCTGCCACCAGCACATCCTGCCTAATGAACGCCCACCTGAGCCGAGGCTGCTCCGAGCTCCCTGCGGAGGCGACCAGGTGTGGCCTGAGCAGGGCCAGCAGAGCCTAAGCCACACCTACCACCAACAGCCCATTGCCTCCCTTGGTTTTCCCATCAGTGAAAGGGGTCCATCCTCCACACACATGCTGACCTGGAAGACCACGGACAGCAAGAGCACACGGGGGGCTGTGGTGGTGTTCTTACCTGTATGGTCTCGCAGTGGCAGGAATGTTTGAAGGATACAACATATCCATGTTGTATAACGAGGGGTCCGTGGCAGGGGACGGTGGTGGGTTCAGGATCTGGGGGGAGCGAAAAGGGGGTCACCAGTGCCCCTCGGGAGCGGCTCAGCCTCCCTCTGGGTTTTCCAGTCCCGTGTGGTGGTTCTTTACTGGGCCGGGACGGCTAGTGTAGCAGCACGCTACCCTGGCCCCCTGCTGTGGACAGTGCTGGGGTATCGTCTCACCTCCTGGTGCCGCTGTAACAGCACTACCCCAGTGGGGGGCTCTAACAAACAGAAAGCTATTTTCTGACAACTCAGGAGGCTAGAAGTCCAAATTCCAGAAGTGCCTCTGTGGGCTCCAGAGGAAGGTCCTTATTGCCTTTCAGTCTCGGCTCCTGGGAGATCTTCACGTCACATGGCCTCTGTCTTCCCCATCTCTGCTTCCTCATCATGTCAGTTTAATCTCTTTTATATCTCAGAAGAGACTGAAACGCCCCCAGGCTAATCCTGCCTCATTAACATAACAAAGGCAACCTGTTCCCCAATGCGGTTACAACACCAGGATAAGCTCACTGCCACTGAGCTGATTTCCAGAAAACCGTATCAAGCAGTTCTAACGCTGTCACACGGGGCTGCAATGGGTCAGAGCTGAGTGACAGCACTCAGTAACAACATAATACGTGTTCATTTTTAAAACTGAAGACTTAGAATGATGCGAAATAATTGGTTGACTTGAAAAAGCTGGCTGGGCCAGGGCCAACTCGTGTTCCCTAAGCCCCCAGCCCCAGCCAAGCCTGGGGAGGGGCGGCCCCTGCAGGTGCTCAGGAAAGAGAATCGTCTCCTGAGCAACCGGCATTTGTGCTGGGGGAAGGGGCAGCTCCTCAGGTTAGCTGGGCCTCACATGGCTCCTTGTGTCTCCAGCTGGTCCCACAGGGAATCAGTCAAGAGCTGGAGCAGCCGGGAGGGAGGGAAGGCTGGCAGTGTGTATTCTAGCTCCAGGCCCTGGTCCCTTGCTATCCCAGCCCCCAAGCACAGTTGGCCCGGAGTCCTGTGGCCCGAGATAACACCCTCTGCCTTCCCCACCCTCCCCAGGCCACCACGGCCCAGCAAGATAAGGAGGGAACGATACCCGGGTACAGGGACACCCAGAGAAGGATGCCAGTGATGGACCCTCTGTTTGCAGCCCTTGGTGTGGGGGGGCACTGGACAGAACCTAGAGAAAGTGCTGGGAGAAAGAGCTAGACATCCCAGAAAGTACTAGGGACCTGGGAGAAAGCTCAAGGGACTGTCATCCCTTTAAGAGCATCAGTGGCAGGAAAGTGGGTGCTGAAGAATTAGAAAGTCCGCAGGGGATACCAAGCCAGCTGCCCGTTTTCACATGGACACAGATCCACAGCCATCAGTGTGTCTAGCGCACCCTGATCGGCTGGGGGTTCTGGTCTCGGGACCGGGGTTCACCCCAGCCAGCCTCGGGGAGAGTGTCCCCACAGTAACACGGTGGATGGGACCTAAGTGATCTAAGGGCTTCACGTTTCTGACAAGTTGTTTTAATGAGGGACTTGGCTCAGTCAGAGCCAGCCCCTCCCTCCTGGAGCTGCAAAAACCTCCAGAGACTCCAGCCACAGAAAGCATGGGGTGTCGGTCTGTCCTCTGGAGAACAACCCAATCATTTTCTGGGCTCCAGCAAGGCATGGGGTGGTGTTATGGCTCGAGCTGTGTCCTCCAGAAAGCCACAGAAGTCCAATCCCGGCACCTGTGAAGGTGGCCTTGTTTGGGAACAGGGTCTTTGAAGATGTTCTCAGTTAACATGAGGACACAACGCAGCCAGGCGGGTCCTAATCCAATGTTGGTGTCCTTATGAAACAGGAGAAGAGGGACTGAGGGACGAGGGACACTGAGGAGACTGGGGACACGCTGCCACAAGCCTCGGAATGCCTGGGGCCACGAGGAGCTGGGAGGATGAACGGGGATCTCCCCAGACTCTGGAGTGAGCTGGCCCCAGGTTGCTCCATGCTTCTAGCCTTCGGAGCTATAGGACGATACATTTCTGCCGTTGCAAGCCACCTGCTATGTGGAGCTTCGTTAGGGCGGACACAGGAAACTCACACAGGTGGGAAACAGAGTGTCCCTCAGGGGACACAGACGGAAAGCTTGCCCCGGCCCATTCCGAGCAGCCCGTCCAGACAGGCCCTAACGGCACGAGGCAGCCCCCCGGGAGGTTTTGTGTGGTCTCAGGCTGCCCACGGTGAGCCAGCACTTCCCTTTTTCTAAGAGAAAAAAAATAAAGGATTGGAGGTAGCGTGCACACCATCACAGATGGTCACAGAGGTCCCCAGGCAGCCAGTGTCGGAGGCCAGGAGGGTGGCAGGGCCCCCGACGGCACTCACCGGGGGGTAGAGCGTGGCCTTGGTACTGGATGAACTGCTAGACGAGGCCCCAGTGACATGGTTCCGGTCATAGAGCGGCACCCCACCTTGGCCCCCCATCAGGCTCATGGAACTCATCACAGACTTGCTGCAGGAGATCCCTGCCAGGGAGGAGACAAGGCGGGTCAGGGGGCTGGGTCGCCCCAGACAGGGCGTGGCAGCCTAGCTCCTGCAGCCCACTGGGCACCAGGGTTGGGCGTTACGAGTCCTGCCTGAGCTGAACCCAGTGAGCCACGGCGCCGCCCTGCAGGCCTCTCTGGCCACCACCAGCAGGAGCTCCCAGAGTCCTCTCTGTCAACCAGACAGGCAAACAGTACCCCTCAGGGGCCCCTGTAGGAGGAATGACAACCGGGCACAGGTGGGCCTTCATCTGGGAGGTGCCAGGGTGATGAGGCCACTGCCGCCGCCACCACTGGGGCTCCTGGGGGCTCTCAGCCATCCCCAGCACCCCACTCCCACCAGGGGAAGCAGGCCATATGTGCACAGGGACATGGGGGCTCCGGGCCTGCACCTCTCTGGGAGGGGCTGCAGGGGAGAAGAAGCCGGGCTCTGTTACAAGCGCTGGCTGGCCCTCGGGGTGGAGGCTGGAAGGGCAGCACCGGGCCTCACAGGGATCCTCAAGGGGCCCAACGGACTCCACTTCCTCAAATACCCTAAAGTGCCAAGTGATAGCAACAGGCATGATTCACCCCCTGGTGCAGCCCCGGGGTGCAGCCCTCTGGCACCAAGTGTTACTTCTGGGGTGTGCGTTCCTGATGACCCACAGCGAGGAGTGACTGCTCGGCCACAAGCTGGAACCGCATTCAGGACAAACTAGCGAGCTCTCTGAGTGTGTCACCTGGCTCTTCAGGGTCCAGGTGTTCCATGTTCATTTCAAGGTGACACGAGGTTTGAGAATGACTCAGGACATGACAATTCCAAGGTCAAGTCCAAAGAGTTCCTCCCACACCTCCAATGTCAAAACACAGCCACACAGGCCTCTGAGCCCAGGACTGATGCCAGATGCAGGCTTGGCAGGAAAGCCGAGGGTCGGGATTGATTAGTGATGTCTGGCAGGTGTGGGAGAAGGGGGGTAGGGAAAGGACATCCTTGGTCCACTGACAGGCTCTCCCTCCTGGATCCCCACTCTGCCCACAGACCCTGCCAGGTCAGCTCCTCACCTGTGAAGGGACCGTGCTGAGCCCCGCCCGGTGCTATGAAGTTGAGGGGCACGTGGGGGGTCCCGCTGACATACTCATGTGGGAAGGGCCCATTGGCCCCCGCGTAGCGCTGGCACACCACACGCTGGCACACGAAATAGACGCCACCCATGACGAAGAGGGAGAGGATGATCCCGATGACCGGCCCAATGGTGCTGCTGTGGGTTGGGCTGTCGTCCACGGGCGGCTTAGTGATTTCTGCCGAGGATGGCGGAGAGATGGCAGCGTGAACACCAAAGGGAAGGACCCTCCCGGGGGCTGCCCAGGCCCCGAGTCCACCAACGGAGGGAGGGAGGAGGAAAGAGTGGGGTACAGGGCTGCATGGGGCAACGCCAACCTCCAACCTGCTGCTCCCCCACTGCGTGGTTTATCCCCACCCCGTGGCCCCTGCCTGGTATCTCCCCCAGAGAAGGCTGACATCCAAACCCCACTTTGTTCAGGGGCTGCTGTGGGGCTGGAGGTGTGTACACAGATTCTCCTTGCTGGCCTGGCAAAGGCCCCCCATCTTGCACCTAAAGGCTGGGCAGATGGCTCGGGGGGGTGACATCCAGGCTGTAGGGATGGGCAGGGCTTGGGGTCTCTGAACCCATCCAGTAGGGGATTTCACCCATGTGAGAGGCTGGGTGGGATGGTGGGTGCACCCAGGCACGAGAGGGTTTGTCAAGCCTCTACCCTGCCTGCCACAGGGTTTAGGGGTCCTGGTCGGTCCCCGTGGGGGTACCAAGCAAGGAGCAGAGTGTGACCTGCATCCCCCCTGCTGGCTGAAAACCCAAAGGAGGAAACCATCGGCTCTGGGGACAGGGCTGTCTGCTCTGTGACAGGCTCAGTGACAGGCATAGCTGTCGATGAATATCACGAGATGACCCGGGGGGCCCAAGGGCAAACACTGTCAACTGGACGCAGAGGCGCAGGCTTGGGCCACTCCTTCACTGCCATCTGGCACCAGCCACTCTCTCGGGCTCATCCCCAGGGTGCCCAGCCCAGGAAGGCATAAGGATGCAAAAATGCTCAGGAGCCCCTGGGGGACTCCCCATCCTGCCCCCCAAGCTGCCTCTCTCCTGTGATCAGTGCTCTCAGCCACATCCCTCTGCGGTAAAACGGGCCATGTCCCCAGACATGTGGACACATTTCTACTTCTTATCTGGGACTCCTGCTCCCTTTCTGTCTAATCTAAGAACCATTGCCTCCAGGAAGCCTTCCCTGACTGCCCTGGCCTCCTCATCCTCTGGGCCCACCAGCCCTGACTGCACAGGCTGTGGAGGGGCAGATGGTACAAAGGACTGCGCCGTGTGTGTCTCTCTGTACCTGTCTGTGTGTCTGTGTGCCTGTGTGCCTGTATGTGTCTGTGTGTCTCCCTATACCCATGTATGTCTGTGTGTCTGTATGTGTCTCTGTGTTTACATGTGTCTATGTCGGAAAGAAGGTCGGGCAGTCTACTTCCGTAATGATACCGCCTCGGAAACCCAAGGAGGGATCGCTATGAGTTAGATACGACTTGACGGCAGTAGGTATGTTTGTACCTATGTGTATTCATGTATACGCCTCTGTATACCCGTGTGCCTGTGTGTCTATGTGTTTCCTGTATCTGTGTCTATGTGTTTCCTGTACGTGTGTCTACACGTCTGTATGTGTGTCTCCATGTCTGTTTTTGTCTATGTGTCTGTGTTGTCTGTATGCCTGTGTCTGTGTCTCCCTATACCTGTGTATCCGTATGTGTCTCTGTGTTGGTACATGTGTCTGTATATGTCTATCGGTGTCTATGTCCATGTCCATGTGTCTCTGAGTATATCTGTATGTATCTGTGTGTGTCTATATGCCTGTGTGTATATCTATGTACCTGTGACTATGTGAGTTTGCACATGTGTCCATACACATCTATGGGTGCGTGTCTACATGTGTACACACAGCCCCTCCCCAGCCTTCTGCAGGCTGCAGATACCCCAGTCTCTCAGCTGCCCTGCTGTCTGACTGATGGTGCAGGCTAGGTCTGGGCAGAGCAGGACACCAGCACTCAGGCCTGGCCGGTACAGGGAGCCCGGCCTGTCCCCATGATGAGCCCTGCAACCCCAGCCAGCAAAGCCCAGGGCTCAGCCTCCTTCCCCAGCCCAGCCCCCTGAGGGCCTCCCAGCCTCCTCTGCCCAGGACTCCCCAGCAGAGCGGTGCAGGGCAGCCCTTCTGTCCCCACTCACCACACATGAGCTCGTCAGAGCCGTCCATGCAGTCGGGGAAGGAGTCACACTGCTGCTGGATGAGCACGCACTGGCCGCTGGCGCAGCGGAACTGGCTGGGCAGACAGACGGCTGCAACAGAGGCCACTTGCTCAGAGGGGCCGGGGGTTTCGGGTCCACCCGCTGACACCGGTGGACGGTGAGCAAACAAAGGGGCCCTTCCAGGATCGGCTCAGGGCGTCCCAGCTAGCGCCCTTCCCTCGTGAACCCCTCTTGCAGGGCTAGCAGGAAGGGACCTCAGCCCTCCTCCCCTGCAGCACCGACCACAAGAAGACACCAGCAGCAGCCCCCGTCCCCAAGGCTCTCTGGGAGGTGGGGGCACGGAGAGGAGAGGGGCGCTGGGCAGGAATGGCCCAGGCGAGTCATACTGGTGGGGAACCAACAGGGAGCAGAACCGATGCGGCAGACACTGGCAGCCCAGAACCCAGGCAACGACCAACAGGACCCAGGGCTTAGAAGGAGGGACAGAAGGCCGGTCCCTGGACAGCGCCTGCTGCCTCCTGTCCCTTCTAGAAGCGCCATCCGGAACACTGCGGCCTGATGACTCAGCCTTTCCTGGCCCCGCAGCCATCTCTCTAAACCGCGCCCCGCCCCTCCGGGCGCCCCGCCCCTCCCCGGGGGCGGGCGCTGATGCTGAGGCCGTTCCCTGTGGAACACAACAGCTCTGCAGCATTTTCAAGGCTGTGACATTTCCAGATCGTCAGGCCTTTCTTCCAAGGCCAGGGTGGGTTCGACCCATCACACTGCAGGCTAACAGTCAAGAACTTAACTGTCTGCACCATCCAGGGGCTAACCCGGGCTGCCGCAATACCCTGAACTGGCAGGCACCCTGTGCTGGGGCGCTCTGCACTTCTCCTAGAGGTACAGCAGGGGGCAGCAGAATCTCTGTAAAGGCCACTTGTCCTCTATTGCCGCTACTAAAGGCTACTGTCTTAACACAAAAGCACCCACACGCTATGTGTAAAGAATGCATGTGGTAGTGTACATAAAACTTCATGTACAAAATCAGGCAGCCGGTGAGATATGGCCGGTGGGCCGTAGTTGGCTGACCCCTGGTCTACAGCGTCCATCCAACCCTCAAAGGGAAAACCTCACAGCAGCTTTAGAGCAACCACTGGGGAAATGACTCGCCAGGCCCTGCTCTTCTCCAGACTGGCCACTCAGCAAGAATGGGGTTGATGGACGATGACAAGACGGCACTGAAGAAGCTGGGCCAACAATTATCCGGGAGCAGGAGCCAGGGGCTTTGGGGAAGACAGCCAGAGGGACCGCCCACAGCTCAGTGGTGGTCACAGGGCCATGATGTGACAGCACATCATAGCTTGGCAGGAGACCAAGCAAGCGGGTCACTTCTAAAAGGACGTTTAAGTGGGCACAGAAAATACATACTTCACTGTCGAGGTCCAGAGGAAAATCCCGCTGCTCAGAGAGGGCCCAGGATCCCTACACAAATTCCATGGGACTAACATTCTAGGTTCAGTGGGCTGCTAGAAACCATCGAGGGGGCAGGGCTATCATTTGCGTTGGGTTCTGTAAAACGCTTGACAGGAGGAGGTGAGGCCATTTTCACATCTGCCTTCAAGCTAAACTGCCTAGCAGGAGGGGGTCTAATTGCTTTTCGGGCCTCAAATAACTTTTTTGCCCCTCACCCTGATGAGGACCTGGTGGTTTCCCTCTGGATAAAGGTTTGACAGGCACACTGGTGGTGCAACGGTTAAGTGCTTGGCTCCATGGGAGAGAAGACCTGGTGACCTGCTCCCATGAGGAAACCCTATGGGGCAGTTTCTGCTCTGAAGCGTGGAGTCACCATGACTCAGAGTTGACTCAACAGCACGCATCAGCAACAACAAAGGTTTCACAGAGGCCCCCCTCGTGTCCTGCTAGCTGTGCCCTGAGCCCCGCAGCCTGGACAGCAGGGTGGGGTAGTCAGAGGACCGGGGGCTCACCGTCACAGTCGGCCTCGTCCGAGCGGTCCTGGCAGTCGGCCTCCCCGTCGCAGCGCAGACGCAGGTCCACACACTGGCCTCGCTCGCAGGGGAACTGGGCGGCCGAGCACACGGGGCAGCCCTCCTCGTCACTCTGGTCGTCACACTCGGGGAAGCCGTCACAGCGCCAGGCCGCAGGGATGCAGTCGATCTCACCCGTGGCACACGCAAACTGGTCCGGGGAGCACGTGGGAGGCTCTGGGCAGGGGCAGACAGCAGCCTCACCTCCCATCCACCTGGCGAGCTGGTGCCTCTGGGCGCCCTGCTGCCAGGTGCTATCCCCACACCTTCTCCACTGCCGGCTGTGTCCTGGCCACTGTCCCACCTCCAGCTCAACACACAATGAAGGCAGGGGACACACGACTGTGTGCAGAGAGAAGATATGAATCTTTCCTTTAAATGCGGAGGGAAAGGGGATGCCTGGGAGTCTAAGCATTAAACAGCAGGAGCAACACCAAATAGATAAGCTGGAAACAGCCCTGCCTGCTGAGAAGCTGGGTGGCCCCTTTTCTGGGTCTCTGTTTCTGTATGCACCACAATGGTGCTGGACGAGGGGACCCAGAGCTGTCCCTCCTGGCTGGGCCAGGCTGTCAGGCCAGCACATACAACCACCTAACTATGTGCATGTGAGCTTTCACTGTACCCTCATGGTGAACAGGGTGCCAGGGTGGAACGGTGACACCCACCATGTGCTTGTGGCGGCTTGAGGAGGGGCAGGACTTAATCTCAATGTCCTGTGGCTGAAGGGTCCGGAGCAGTGGGGGCAGAGCAAGGTCAGAGAGACCCAGGAAATTAACAGAAGGGTCAAAGAAATCGAGACATAAACTAAAGACAATTTTGAATAAATTAACATGAAAACTTATTGGAACCTGTGGGTGCAGCAAAAGCCGTGTTTAGAGGGAAATTCATAGCATTCAGTGCATATTCTAGGAAACAAAGTGGGGCAACAGAGGAGACCAGCTGCTCTGGACAAAAGGATTGTTCAAAAGGATGCTGGGCAGTGACCACAGAGAACAGTTCCCTGTCCATTGTCCCACCGGATAGAGCCGAAGTCCCACCTACCGCCACAGGTCAGGAGGTTCTGTAGGAGCACGAGGTGGACTGGGCACGAGCAACGTGGTGTGCCATCGCCCTTAGCGATGCAGATGTGAGAGCAACCGCCATTGTCTCGGGCACATGGGTGGGCCGCTGTGGACAGAGTGCAAAGTGGAGACTCAGGTTCCAGATCTCACTGCAAGGCTGTGGTCTGGGGGCAGAAGGGGTGAGGGCCAGAGAGAACTCACAAGAACCGGCATTCACAGCAGACCCTCCCACTTAATTCTCAAGGCAGCCTACAGTGGACATTCCTATGAACATTTCCATGTTACAGATAAGAAAACAGAGGATGTACACAGTTCAGGAACTCGTCCAACTTCACAGCCCAGCCCGACTGGACTGGCTTCTGCTAGGCCTGTGACCATCACCCTCCACTGCCCCCATGAATGCCCCTGCCTCTCGTGGTGTGTTGTTGCTGTTGTTGTTAGGTGCTGTCAAATTGGCTCCAACTCACAGAGACAACAGAACGAAACACTGTCCTGTCCTGCGCCACCCTCACGTCACTGCTGGCCTGAGCCCATCGTTGCAGCCACCGGTGTCAATCCATCCCCTCGAGGGCCTTCCTCATCTTTGCTGAGCCTTGACCTTACCAAGCATGACATCCTTCTCCAGGGACTGGTCCCAAAGTTACATGAGACGACCTCTGCCATTTTCACCTCTAAGGAGCCCTGTGGCTGCACTTCTTCCAGTACAGATTTGTTCATTCTTCTGCACGTCCATGGTACTCTCAGTACTCTTTGCCAACATAATTCAGAGGCATCAACTCTTCTCCAATCTTCCTTATTCACTGTCTAGCTGTCACATTTAAGGCATTTAAGGCAACTGAAAATACCATGGCTTGGGTTAGGCGCAGCTTAGTCTTCAAAGTGACACCTTTGCTCTTCAATGTTCTAAAGAGATCTTTTGCTGCAGATTTGCCCAATGCAATACACCTTGTGATTTCTTGACTGCTGCTTCCATGGGTGTTGACTGTGGACCCAAGTAAAATGAAATCCCTGACAACTTCTAACTTTTCTCCATTTATTGTGATGTTGCTTTTGGTCCAGTTGTGAGGATTTCTGTTATCTTTATGTTGAGGTGTAATCTATGCTGAAAACCATAGTCTTTGATCTTCATCAGTAAGTGCTTCAAGTCCTCTTCACTTTCAGCAAGGTTGTGTTATCTGCATATTGCAGGTTGTTAATGAGTCTTTCTCATTAATTAATTAATCCTGATGCCACGTTCTTCATGTACTCCAGCTTTTTGGATTATTTTCTTAGAATACAGATTGAATAAATATGGTGAAAAGATACAACCCTGTGATGGTTAACTCTTTGTGTCAACTTGGCTGGGCCTGGTTGAGTGGCTGGGCAGCTGAATGGAGTTATTCCCCATGATGAGACTGGTAATTATTTCCACGTGGGATCTACTGGAGCAGCTGAGTAGCTGCTTTGGGTATGTGGTCTGCTTCCCACATATAAGCAGCAGCTCTGGGAATGGTCTCTAGCTTATGGCACGCTTGGATCCTGCATGTAGCCGAGACATTGCTCAGCAGCCTGCCATGCTCTGCCGACCTTGGGACTTAAGTTAATGACCTGCCGTGTGGTTTGGTAACATCAGGGCTGTGCCATTTTATTTGGGCTTCTCAGCCTCAGCAGCCCACAGCTGTCTGAGTAAAGAAAAGTCCCCAGCTTCAGTGGGCCAAGAGCTGGAGGCAGAGCTGAAGCCCAAGGCTGAGGGGCTTTCACCCAGCCCCTAGAGCTTGGCACTTTGAACTTGGACTTAAAGCCTCCAAATTTTAAAAGTAAACTCCTTTTTGTTTAAGCCATCCCATTTGTGGTATGTTCTTGTCAGAGCGGCTCTAGGGAACCAGGACAGACCCTGACTCACACCCTCCTGATTTTACACCACACAGGATCCCCTTGCTCTGTTTGGACAGCCTCGTGGTCTACGGACCGTCATGTTCCGAGTCCAGTCTGAGGGGCTCGGCTTCCAGCACTGTATCAGACAAGGTTTCCCTGCTCTTCATAAGGTTTTCAGTGACTTATTTTTTCAAAGTGGATGGGCTCATCCCTCTCCCACGTCTGTCTTAGTCTGGAAACTCCACCGAAACCTGTCCACCCTGGGTTACTCTGCTGGTATCTGAAACAGGGTTGTATAGCCTCCAGCCTCACAACAACACGCAAGCCACCACAGCATGACACACGGATAGATGAACGGTGGCCACTATTTAAAAACGATGGAAGTCATTGTTAACAACAGAGTCGGCAAATGTTTCCTGAAGGGCCAGAAAGTCAGTAATTTTGCCTTGATGGGACAGACCATCTCACAGCTGCTCAACCTGCCACTTGTAGCCCCAAAGCAGCCAGAGACAACACACAAACACATGAGCATGGCTGTGTTCTAATAAAACTTTATTTACAAAACAGACAGTGTGGCTTTGGCTTGTGCCGACCCCTGGTTTAGAGTCTAGCTGTGGGATCTTATGGGAAAGCAGGACGGGATCCACGTCCCATGTAACCATGGCAACGCTCACCAAGCTAGCTCCGGTCTTCACTGAAAGCAAGGAGATGCTGCCTATCACCCTAACCATTGACACTAGCACCCATGGGCCACCCCCAGTGTCCAGCTGCACCCCTGCTTGCTGAATATGCTCCTGGCACCCTGTTGCTTCAGCTCCAATGAGCTGAGGTTCCCACTGGCACCAGTGGGCCAGAGCATCAGAAGTCACCACTCTAGTCATTCACCAGCAATTGTGAAAGTCCGTGACACGCAAGAGTCTGCACCTCTGCTGACAATGGTGTCAGGGGCTGGCAAGCTGGGCGTCCTAACCCCTGACCCCAAAATTTCCAGGAACTGTTTACCCAGCAGCTTCACTCATCCAGGACCGAGACGGACAGACAGACACACAGGGACAGAGGGCCCTGCAGTGGAGGCCCCCTCCCAAGCCCTGCTGCCCAGCTCAAGGGTGCGGTCAGCAGAGTCCTGGGACGCCCTCGACCAATCACCAGCTCTGACAGCACGACAGGCACTGGTCCAGCGACTGTCACCTGTGAGTTCCTCACGAGGGAGGAGCCTCAGGCAGACCTCACCCAACAGGCGCCCACAGCACAGGCTGAGGTCAGAGGTCAGAATGTGGGAGGGGAGGCACCCACCGCAGAGAGGAGGGGTCCTGGGCCAAGGACCTGGGAGTGACCTAGGAGCTGACAGTGGTCCCAGCCTCAGTCTGACGGTGGCCCACAAGCTGAGTGAGTGTGGGGCCACCTCGAGTTAGGCCACGTGAGCCCGAGCGAGCCCAGGCCCCCACAACTGGGAGGTGAGAAGAGTGTGTTCCATGTTTGTGGTTATTAATTATACAATAACTGCGAGTGGACCTGGTGGCCTTTGGGGACATCTGGGCATCTCGCTGAACCTCAAGGGGGCAGCGTCCAGTGATGGGGACAAAATCACAGTGCCACAGAGCCCCCTTGCTGCCTGAGGTCAGACAGGCCGTGGACCTGCCTGGACCTGCCCGTCGTCCTGCTGTGACAGGGCGGGGCGGGGTCTGTGCTCTGAGCAGAGCCCACTCCCCTGGGCCCAGGCCTCCTCAGACCTGCAGGAATGTGGCCCACACGCCCTGCCTGACCGCCGGCACACACAGCAGCCTGCACTGCCCAAACCACCTGCTCCCCCTGCCCTCCTACATACAGGGCTGGCTCCCACCACCCCCTTGACATTGCTCAGCCTGCACCCCCACACACACCGTCTGCCCCCCGCCACACCCTCACCATGCTGTCCTGCATACAACCCACACTGGGACACCCCTGCACAGCCTACCTCCCATCCCACACCCCCTCACTGGTCCCCCCTGCACGGCTGGCCCCTCATTCCACTCCCCCTCGTCCCACTCCCCCTCATCGGTCCCTCCTGCACAGCCCGGCCCCTCATCCCACATCCCCTGCACGGCCTGGCCCCCCCACACTGGCCTATCCCTCATATGCCCTCTGCTGGCATCCCTACCTACCCTCACCCCCTTCCTGCACACACAGCTGGCTCCCCACTCCATACCCTGCCTGTCCCCCTCTCCCACCTCCTCTCACTGGCCCCTTGCAGAGCCTGCCTCCTGACCCCACTCTCGTCACTGGGGCCCCATACATGGCCACCCACTTCACTGTCCTCCCACTGTCCCTGCCCTCCACTGGCACCACACACCCCGCCTGCCTCCCCCCCGCCCCGTAAGGCCTGACCCCCTCCGACGTACAGAACTCCTCCAGGCTGACTTCCTCCACGGCGTGGATGCCGGTGAGGTGGGCGATGCGGCCCTGCACGCGTGTCCGCTGCTCCCCGGTGGTCTTCTCCACACGCTCGATCATCTGCTGCTGCCGGTCAGCCCAGTAGAGGTGGCTGCCAAGCACGGCCAGGCCCACAGGCTGCACAATGTTGGCATCCTCCAGCGTCAGGCGGTTGGCTCCTACGGGGACAAGAGCCCACGCTGCTGGTGGCCGACCGCCAGAGCTCAGCCACTGGGTGCAGCCTGGCAGCAGGGAGGTCTAAAGGGAGCCGCCAGGGAGGTCAGGTGGGCGCTGGGGACAGCTCTCCAGAAACAGGCCGATCTGAGGATGTCTTGCTCCTGCCAAGGCCAGCCTGGCAGTGACTCTGGTGTGGCCATTAGGGCCGTGTGTCCAGCCGCAGAGTCGGTCACCGCATCTCCTCCCCTCCTTCCCCTGTGATGTGGAGGAGGCGCTGGGGGGACACCCGCACCCCTCCAAGCACCAGGCTTTCCTCCTGGGAAAGCACCTCCCCCCCCGCCACACACACACACAGGGGCCTCCCAGGCGAGCGGCTGCCGAAACGGGCAGTACAGGCAGAGGCCAGGGTGCGAGTCCTGCTCCCCCTCCTGTGCGGTGTGACCCTGGGCAGCTCACTCACCCTCTCTGAGCCTCATCTGGGCTTCTGCCATGGGGGGCTCATTCAGGGGGTAACCCACCAAGTGCAACGTACATCAAGCCCCAGGCAGCACGTCCGGGGCGCAGTAGGCCCTCCCAACACAGCAGCCACCTCTGCCACCGAAAAGGCACCTTGGGTGGCTGACGGACCCGATTCCGGCGGAGGACCCGGGGATGGCCTCGGAGAGTACCTGACAGGTCACAGCTCTCGACGCGCTTCAGGTCGGCATCCACCCAGAAGAGCTTGCCCAGTGTGTTGTCCACCACGAGGGCCACGGGGCGGATGAGGCCGGTGGTGAAGAGGACCTCCCGCTCGGTGCCGTCCAGGGCCGCACGCTCGATCTTGGCCGTGCGCTCCTGCATGTTGGTGAAGTACAGGTACCTGCGGGCGGGAGGGGGGCTGGTGCTGAGCCCCAATCACACTGCTCTCCCGCGCCCAACAGGACCAGGCTCCTGCAGCATCAAGACCAGCCCTGGCCCCCTGGCATCGAGTGGGGCTTTGGGAACTTAGACAGCCCCAGCCTCTCAAGGCTGGCCCCAGGGGCTGAGAGGTCACGCCTCCTTGCAGCCGCTCAGGGGTTCCGGGCCTCCTGGGAGCCTAGGCTCATTAAATACAGATTCCGAGCCCACTGTACATGCCTCAGAGGCTTGAACCACTGCTTTCTCCTCTACACACGAGGAAACTGAGTCTCTGAGAGTCCACTTCCTCTCCCAAGGTGAGCCGGCAGTGGGGCCAGGACTCCAACTCGGGCCTGACCCACCCACAGCCTGTTTGTGGTAGCTTTGCAGGATAGCTTAGCCCGTTCTACGAGCCTGATCTCAAAACAGACTACCGTAGAATCCTGCCTTATTTCTCTGGGGCTGCTGTAATGGAAATACCATAAGTGTGGGCTTCAACAAACAAACTTATCCTCTCAGGGCTCAGGAGGCTGGGAGTCCGAGTTCAGGGTGGCGGCTCGAGGGGGGGCCCTCTCTCTGTCGGCTCTGGGGGATGGTCCTTGTCTCCTTTCAACATCTAGGGCCCAGTGCCCCTTGGGGATCTCCAGGTGCCTTGGCATAAATCTTCTGAGTCTAGGAGGTTCCCACCTGAAGGACCTTGGATCCAAAGGACACTCTCTGCTCCCAGCTCCTCTTTCTTGGTGGCACTGAGGTCCCCTGATTTTTTCTTACTTGTTAACTCTCTTTCACATCTCAGAAAAGACACAATCTAATCCTGTCGGTTGCACCCCACCTCACTGTCCTCACTGCCTCTAATCCCCTCACTGCCCTCACTGCCCCTAATCCCGCCTCACTGCCCTCACAGAGGGGAGGATTACAACACATGGGATAATCACATCAGATCACAACACAGAGGAAAACTATGATACTGAGAATCACGGCCCCGTATTTTTTGGGAGACACAGTTCAATCTGTAACAGATCCCATGGAGCCCTGGATACATACTGACTGCACATGAATCTGGAACAGCCAGTGACGAAAACTGACCTGAAACTTTTCAATATATTAGAAACTTCTACTGGTCATACATGTTGTTGTTTGCCATCAAGTCAGACTCGACTCATAGCGACCCCTCCTTGGGTTTCCGAGGCAGTTATCACTACGGAAGTAGATTGCCCCATCTTCCTTCCGAGGAGTGGCTGGTGGGTTTGAAC